GGCATCGCCACACTTTGGGGAAGTTTTGGAGAAGTGCAAAGGTAACATGTCAGAATCCTGATCATGAAGGTATCAGGAAGTGTATCCAAGGCAGAGATGTAATTACCTTGCATGTCTCAGGACATTCAAAAGCTGTTTGGAGTTATTATTCCAGTTGAATCAGGTAGTCTTCACTAACATTTTCTGTTATCTATTTTTGTCTCGTGACATATCTGCTCGAAAAGAGAAGAAATTCCTTATTAGATGAAGGGTACTTAAGTACACATCACGTTGAAAAAACATAGATCCATGTATAAGTGCTTTTAATTGCAGATGGAAATATGCTCAATGTTGCTTGGTTGATAATAAATAATGTTTTTGTAGAAGATCAAATCACCTGACAACGCTATACACTTATTCATGCGTACGGTTCACAATTATTTGCGGTCAGTTTTCCTCAGTTTGTGTGATTCTCATTAACCGGTATGATTAAATTTGCAGACTAAAACACCCCTTATTTGATTAAGAATAATAAAAGTAAACAGTGCATGTCGGTTTTCAATTCCCGATGGATGCTACTGGGCTTTACTTTAACTGAGAAATTTGCAATCGCTTACCTCACTTCTCTGGGCCCATGCCGTAAGAAGCACAAGAAAAAAGTTGATGATAGTGAGTCTCGGCTGAGACAAGAAGAATCAGAGAAGAATCTACGGTCCCCAGAAACGCCACTTTTAAACACGAGACAACTAAGGTAAATTGAATGAAGTAGTATTTGTTTTTATTGAAAAACATCGTTCAGATTATAAGATACGCAAATAACTCTCCCCACCGATTTTTTCTTTAATTCTGTTAATCAAAAGTTTCAGTAATTATAAAGGCTTTCTTGTTGATCGTCGTAATAGTAACAGTTTCCAGGATTCAAGGGGAGCAAAAGAGAGAACAATTTTCTGTGCAGCTAGGTAAGGCAACGTGGCAGCTTTATACTTCTTCCGGCGTGATAACGATAATGATGACAACAATGGGAAAAAGCACCGTCCGCTAATAATAACGATTATCATAGTTATAAACAAATCTCAGTTATAGCCCTGAAAAAAGTCTTAGTCCTTTGAACTATCTACTTCATCACGCCAGAAGTCAAAGTTGCCTACACTCATTCTAAAGTTCGTGCGATTTTACGACGAATTTTTAATTTTGGTGTGTTGCACGCGCGACTTTTAATAGAAAAAACCTGCAAGCGACATAACTTAAAAGTTTTCCTGTAGT